GTTTTTTAAACGCGTCATTTTCATCTGGATTTGTAATCATTTGGTCGACTTCTTTTGATGATTTTTTTGCACTTTTTGTGATTCTTTTTCTTGTTTTTATTTCTTTTGCCCACCGTTTTGTTGCTATTTTTATCGTTTTTTGTGTTTCATTTTTTGTGTTTCGTTTTTTGTGTTTCGTTTTTTATCGCCTTTCATTGTGGCCTTTCTTCTTCTTTTAGCTTTTTCTCGGATTGTTGTCGTTTTATTCAGGATTGTTTTAGGTTTTGTCACATTTTAGTGGCCTTTTTTTCGCCCTTTTTTTGATCTTCTTTACATCCCTTTTTATTCTGTTATTTTTTTTTTTTTTGTTACTCTTGTGATGTTTTTTAAGCCGCTCTTATTTGAGAGACTTTTTAGATGCTTTTTTCTCGCTTACCTAATTGTCGCTTTTTTAGTGACCATTTTTCATCTTTTTTTGGGTATTTTTTAGCCCATTTTAACTCATGTTTCTTGTCGCATTTTGTGCCGTGTTTGGTAATTTTTGTGTTGCATTGCTTTGCCTTATTCGTTCAATTTTTGACGTTTTAGTGTTTCTTCTTTTTGTTTTGTAACCTCTATTAGTCCCTTTTTTGCCTCGTTTCTTTGGCATTTTTTGTGATTTTTTGGTGGATTTTTCTGATAGTTTTTAGTTCGTTTTTTAGTGGCGTTTGAGTATTTTTAGCCACTTTTTGTATAATTTTTTCGGTAGTTGTTTTGTCGTGATTTTTTGACTCTATTTTTAAGCTGCATATTTTGTCGCTCTTTTGTTACACTTTTTTTTTGTTATTTTTTTTTGTATCTTTTTTTTGTATCTTTTTTTTATTGGCTACATTTTTGTACACATTTTTGTCAATATTTTTAATGCCTCGTTGCTTTTTTATCGCCTATTTCTTCCCTTTATTCAATTGTTTTTTAAGTAGTTTAATCTATTTTTTTATTTTTTTAGTTGCATTTATTTTTCACTTTCCAATTAATTATGTATGTTCATTTTAATATGTTTATAATTATCAACAGTAGTATTTGTACTTTGGGGTTATATACGTAGCTGTAATTTTCCTATGTTTACGTACATCGTACAATGAACTTATTTTAATATGTAATACGTCCCTGGCATTTTATATACATATAATAAACTTACTTACCTACTTGCTTATTTACTTACTCACCTTTTTTTTTATTGCTTTTTTTGTTGAATTTCATTGTGTCTTTTTCTCTTTTTGCCTTATTGCTGCTTCTTGTTTTTTTTTTGTTGTTCTCTCCTTTTCTTTGGTCGTATTTTTTTCGCGTTTTTAATCACTTTTTTCGTTTTTTTTTTGTTATTTTTCTTTTCACCTCTTTTTTTAATCTCGTCTTTTGTTTTTTAAGTCTCCTTTTTGTAGTTTTTCTTGCATTTTTTGTAGATATTTTGGGGAGCTTATTCCTTCGCTTTTTTCTCGTTTTTCTTTTGCCGTTTTTATTTTTAATGTCTGTTTTCGCTTCTTTTTTTGAGTCCGTTTTAAGCCGTAATTTTGTTGCTTTCTTTTAGTATTTTGTGATTCTTTTTCTTGCTTTTATTTTTTTCAACCACCGTTTCGTTGCTATTTTTATCGCCCTTTCTATATATTTTTTTGTGTTTTTTATCGCTTCCCATTCATTTCATTGTGGCCTTTCTTTCATCACATTTTTTGTATTTTTGTAACCGATTTAGTTTTTTTCGTTTTTTTTTTAGAATCTTTCTAGGTTTTGTCACTTTTTAGTGGCCTTTTTGCGCCCTTTTTTTGATCTTTTTTACTTCCCTTTTTTATCGGTTATTTATGTAGTATTTTACAGTGTTCTTTGGGAGCTTTTCCTGATGCTTTTTTTGTCACTCTTCTTGTCGCCTTTTTTCCTCGCCTCTTTTTTGTGATGTTTTTTAAGCAGCCCTTTTTTTGCGTTTTTCTGTAGATTTTTTTTAAGAGTTTTTTTAGTGGCCTTTTTCATGTTTTTTTTAGTGCATTATAACTCATATTTCTTGTCGCATTTTGTGTCGTGTTCGGTCAATTTTTACTTCCCGAGCGTAAGCAAAGGAAGTATTGTAATCGAGTCCGTCGGCCGACTCTCTACTTTTACGTTTTCTCGATCTTTCATGACCCCTAGAAGACGAAGAAATAGGTCTCCCATTTCCGTCTGTCTGTCCGTCTGTCCGTCTGTCCGTCCGTCTGTCCGTCCGTCTGTCCGTCTGCCGTCCCGGATTTTTATTAGACAGATAATCTCCGAAAGTACTCGACCGATTGTTGTGAAATTTTGTACTTATATTAAGAATATCATGTAGATGGTAAAACGCTAACCAAAATTTGTCTAATCATCCCCACCACTAATGCGATGACGTCACTTCAAAATTGTACATAGTAAATGGGTTTTCAATTGTATAAAATAACATAGTCCTACACATGTAGTTTACAACTCTGAATCGACTTTTCACCCGAAACGTCCAGATTTTTGGAAAAAAAATCAAAATTATAAAACAATATTTTGAAATTTAATTTTTAATCTGCTAACCAGAATGCTTTGAAATGTTGCAGATGTTTTAAGGCTATAAAGAGCATCATAAATCTTTAGTCAAAAAATATTTGCTTATCCCCTCCAAAAACTTGATGACGTCAGCTCAAAAGTTTGTGGAATAAATCATATCTAAAATGTACAAAATATGATGAGTCTGTACTTGTGATCTATCACTCCATTCATATTTTTTGGATTTGCATATACAGGGTGACTCAAAGAAATTAATGAATGCGTAAATTTATTTTACTGATTTACTCAGGAACTACAAAACCGAATGCTCTGAAATCTTGCAGATGTTTTAAGGTCATAAAGAGCATAATAAATGTTTAGTCAAAATATATTTGCTTATCCCCTCCAAAAAATTGATGACGTCAGCTCGAAAGTTTGCCGAATAAATCCTATCTAAACTGTACAAAATATGATGAGTCTGTACTTGTAATTTATCACTCCATTCATATTTTTTGGATTTGCATATACAGGGCGACTCAAAAAAATTAATGAATGCGTAAATATATTTTATTGATTTAATCAGGAACTACAAAACCGAATGCTCTGAAATCTTGCAGATGTTTTAAGGTCATAAAGAGCATAATAAATGTTTAGTCAAAATATATTTGCTTATCCCCTCCAAAAACTTGATGACGTCAGCTCGAAAGTTTGCCGAATAAATCATATCAAAAATGTACAAAATATGATCAGTCTGTACTTGTGATTTATCACTCCATTCATATTTTTTGGATTTGCATATACAGGGTGATTCAAAAAAATTAATGAAAGCGTAAATTTATTTTACTGATTTACTCAGGAACTACAAAACCGAATGCTTTGAAATCTTGAAGATGTTTTAAAGTTATAAAGAGCATAATAAATGTTTAGTCAAAATACATTTGCTTATCCCCTCCAAAAAATTGATGACGTCAGCTCAAAAGTTTGCCGAATAAATCCTATCTAAACTGTACAAAATATGATAAGTCTGTACTTGTAATTTATCACTCCATTCATATTTTTTGGATTTGCATATACAGGGTGACTCAAAAAAATTAATAAATGCGTAAATTTATTTTTTTGATTTAATCATGAACTGCAAAACCGAATGCTTTGAAATCTTGCAGATGTTTTAAGGTTATAAAGAGCATAATAAATGTTTAGTCAAAATACATTTGCTTATCCCCTCCAAAAAATTGATGACGTCAGCTCGAAAGTTTGCCGAATAAATGCTATCTAAACTGTACAAAATATGATGAGTCTGTACTTGTGATTTATCACTCCATTGATTTTTTCTTTAATTTGCATATACAGGGTGACTCAAAAAAGTTAATGAATGCGTAAATTTATTTTATTGATTTACTCAGGAACTACAAAACCGAATTTTTTGAAATCCACTGCGAAAAAAAAACATAATAGGCATGCAGTCGTCACGTTTCCGACAGCGAGGGAAGTACTGTCTAAACTCTTTAGACCAATTTTTTTGTGTTGTTTTAAGTTGCCCCTCTTTTGTCCATTTTTGTAGATTTTTTGGGGAGTTTTTAGTGTCTTTTTTCTCGCTTTCTTGTTTCTTTTTGACCTTTTTCCATCTTTTTTTTTAATTTTTTTAGTCATTTCAAATTGTGTTTCTTGTAGCATTTGTGTGTCGTGATTTTTTGTTGCATTCTTTGCGTTCTTCGTTCATTGTTTTTTTATCGCCTTTTTTCGTCGGGATTGTTGTTTTTTTTTAATCGACTTCTTCTGATGATTTTTTGCTGTATTTCTTATGTTCCGTGTTTTTTGTTCGTATTATTTTGTGAACCTGTTTGTCGCTATTTTTATCGACTTTTTTTGCCGTTTTTTTTTCATCGGCGTTTTTGTTCCGTTTTTTTTTTGGCATATTTCTTTGTAGCATTCTTTTGTTCGTGTTTTTTGTAACCTGTTAGCCGCATTTTGTCACTTTTCTTCTCGCCTTTTTTTCTAGCTTACTTTTTTTGTCGCGGTTTTTTTTTAAGTCGCCTCAGGATTTTTGTGATCTTTTTTGTAGATATTTTAAGCTGCATATTTTGTCATTCTTTTGTTACATTTTTTGTATTATTTTTCTTTTTGTTGGCCACATTTTTTGTTCGCCTGTTTGTAGTTATATTTAACACCTTGTTGCGTTTTTTATAGCTTATTTCTTAGCTTTTTTTGTTGCGTTTATTTTTCACCTTTGTTGCATTTCATGTCTTTTTTCTGTAGAATTTTTTAGTTTTTTTTTCGTTGTTCTCGGTTTATTTTTGTCCCTTCTTTTGATAATAATTTGCCATTTTAACCTCATTTTGGTATCTTTAATTGTCGTTTTTGATTGTTTATCCCATTCCTTTGTGTTTTTCTTTTTTTGACTGTTTTTTCAGTCACATTTTTTCGCTTTTTTTGTATGTTTGTTATGTTTAGTTGCATTTTTTGTCCATGAAATAATAAAAATAACAACCTGTAATGTTTGTATCGCTTTATTACAAATTTAAACATAATAAGGCACAAAAAACAGTAACACTATGGCATCCAAATTTTTTCTTAATGTATGGCATGTGACATTTACTAAGGTTTATTTGAATTTATTTTTATCACATCAAATAAGAGCCTCGATATCACAGACCAATATATCACTTATTATTATTACTATAACTAAATATATCACTATATACTTACAAACAAAAGGACTTTACACAATTGATAACATCGTTTACATACAAGAAGAATAACAAAGGTCTCAATTCGAATCTTGGCATACACCAGAAAAACGTTCTTAGATATTTAACCCAACTACCTCAGAACTATTTAGATGAAGTGCACAAACACTTCACTATTTCTACCAACACTGCAACATTACTTTTGTACGAATTCATTTTATACTCCCCCAACCATCTCTTACACAAATCTGCGATATTCCGTTGTCTCCTTTTTTCCACGATCAACCACAACACAACTCGCTCGTTGTCTTTGTCTTCGTAACTCATCCACAAGTCGATCTGATTATACTTACATTTAAACTTCACACACTTCCAGGTTGTAATCAACAACTTCAGCACATCGTCGTTCCTGTCTTCACTAACCAAACGCAAAAGCACGTGAAAGAGTTCATTTGCAAGAGCGACAGCTTTGTTCAGTTCGATTGTCCACTCCAGAATCCAAAAATGACGATTTGTGTGCATCAAACTCATCAACGAACACAGCGGCGTATCACCCACTTTCAACAAACGCAAAATTTTGGCACCTTTTTTGTCTAGAACTCCTCGAGGTTTGACTTTTTTCGGATAATACTGTGGTTCGAATCTGTTTGGATCGAGACGTTGTTCTAGACATTTTAAAAGTGAGGGGGATTCGTTGTCTTGGGTGATTCCCACTGCACCATGAGCCAACAAGAGTTGGACGAAGTAAGGGTTGCCAACTTTGCACGCTTTGTGTATAGGTCTTTCCCCGCGTTTGTTACGAGTGTTAACATAGCTGACCCTTCTGAGTAACAAATTAACAACTGAAGGGTTGTATTTGGTACAGGCTCGATGCAAGGGAGTGTCCCCTTTTTTATCAACGCACTCCAAAGACACCCCTTTTTCTAGAAAAAGCTCCACGGCTTGGTAGTTCAATTTTGCGCAAGCGTAGTGCATCGGGGTTCCGTGTTCTTTGTCTGGAACATCCAACTTCGCCCCTTTTTCCACCAGGAATTGCAAAATAGGGAAGGATCGTTTCCGGCAACAATAATGCACTGGAGTTCTCCCGAAGAAGTCGGGACTGTCCAAAATCGCTTGAGATTGCTTGACGAACAAAAACTTGACTATGTTAAGTTCGCCAAAATCACAAGCTAAGTGGATTAGCTTTTTCCCGTTCCGGCGACTAAAGTCCAATGAGGCACCTTTTTCCAGGAACAGTTCCACAATGTCGAAGCGAGCTGATTGACAAGCTTCGTATATGGGTGTTATTCCTTGTCGATCTGGAGTGTAAAAATCGGGTTCGTGGTCAAGCAAAAGTCTGATGAAGTTGATATCGCCTGCGAAACACGCGCAATGTAGAGGGGTCTTGAACGTGCAATAGGGAGAATTGATAAATTCCAGAGCATTGATGGGTGTTTTAGCTTGGATTAACAATTTTGCTTGGTCGTAATCGCACTCTAGGCACGCTTTGTGCAGTAACGTTCGACAATAACAGGAAACCAAATTGGTATTGCGAGAAAATTTCGCCCCGCTGGTTAACAAAACCTCGACCATTTCGTAATCGTAGTTAGCGCAGGCTCTATGAATCAGATTTTCTTGACAATCTGTGAGGTATCGTCTGGTTTGAGGATCGGCTGCAATTGTCGTTATAATATCTTTTGATCCGTATTCCACAGATTGGTAGACGATACTGTTACCATAGAGATCCTTCATCAGCCACAGTTCGTCACACAAATCGAGTAGGTCAGTATAGTCAAACGCCAAACAATATTCCAAGATCGTCAAAACGTGGTCGTCGAATAGTCGCGTTCTTGTACTAGTTCTAGCTGTTAGCAAAACAAACGGAACTAGTTTAATCGACGCTCCGTTAAAAAACACCCAGTCGTTATGTAGAACTGCGACGATTTCGTCTTGGTCGCATTTTTTGAGCAAAAATACAACAATGTCGCGAGTGGTAGGACGGTCTGACGATCGCACAGCTGTGTTGTCCACAAAAAACTGACAATCTTTTTCTGTTACGTCCAAAATCTGATAACTTTCACTCCAACTACAAGCCACTTCTAAACCACTTCTGTTCATGTTGTCTCTTTTGCTAAACTCCTCCTGTGTACACTTTTCCAAAAGAGACAAATTCTTATACAACACTGCTACGTGCAGCGGACACTTTTTTGCCAAAATCAAGTCAAAGAAGAACCTCAAGTTGTTGTATTTTTTGTCAAACACGAAATCCTTGATGGAGGAAACTTTGTCATGGTGATTGGCAAGATACAAAGCCGCGAAGTATTCACCAAACGAGTTGTGAAAAAACTCCGGACGATCGTCTTCACTGATCTTCGTTATAAAACCCACTTGATCTTTGTCTTTGGACGTGGTGACACCAGCACCAAGTGATTGTAGAACGTCGTCTTCGAAATACAGTTTCAGAGACACTCTTCCATAGTATTCGCTTTGTTGTTGCTTTTCGTTTTTGATTCGTCTGCGGGTGTAGTCGTTACTCACGTCCGCGTTTTCCTTCTCTGTGAAGTACCTAGTGAAAATTTTATCCACGAAGTGTTCGTACAAGTCGGCAATCGACAAAATGTCTGTCAACAAAGCGGAATACTTGTCTTCGTCACCACGGAACAGTTCAGTGAGAATGTAAATCTGTAACGGGATCCCCAAAATATCGTTGTACGGAAACAACTGAATGCTCGTCTTCATTTTTGTGTAAATGTCGTCTAGTTTATCGCCAGAGCACTCTAGTCGGGTTTTGATATACCTGCGCTGTTCCGCTTCGTCGAACTCCTTGATACTTCGCGAAACCACGTTGAACCGTCTTTCGAGATCCCGCTGCAGGTTGCACCTAGACGTAATCCAGTGCTTCGACTTGGATTTGGCTAGTTTTTCGACGATGGTCTTCACCGTTTCGAAGTTCGAACGCGATATTTCATCCAAGCCGTCCCAGAAGTACCAAACGCGACCTTCCCTCACCAAAATGTCGATTAACTTTACCTCAAAGTCCTGACTTCGTTTTCGGGTTACATCTAAAATGTATTTTTTGAATTTGTCACTGTCGTCTCCTGCTTCCCGAAAGTGTTTGGAATGGTCCCTGGCATAAATAAGGATGCTCCAAACCGACGCACAGCTCAGGTTCTTCAAATCTTTCATCAGAGTGGTCTTCCCCATTCCAGGGTCGCCACACACGAGATTAACTCTATTGTCTTCGTTGTTCAGCAATTCTGACTCCGTCGTGACTACATCGTTTCGCAAAAATGGGGTCAGGTGATGCGAATTATTCGAGCTTCGCACCCACTCCCAACTTTCGTCGTCGTCAATGTACACGAGACGAAATTGGTGACAAGTTTTCGTCGTTTTCTCACAAATGGCTTTGAAATCCTCCACATCTATGTCGTCTTCGTCTATAACCATACATTCTTCTCTGTCGATGGTTTGCTCTTTCAAATCCAAGTACTCTTCTACCGTGTGAACACTCCCCGAGAAGTTGTATCGTTCGGTTATAGCTCTATCGTCGTCGACTTCCACTAGTATCACCACGGTTTGACGAAAATCAACTCTCCGTAAGAAACTATCGTCAACGACAATTCGTGACAACGATCTAGGGATGTAAGAAACCGGAAGCGCTTCTTGGGGTTCGCCAATCAGCAACGGTTCGTCTAACATTTCTACAAGTTCGTCTACACGGAAAACTTCAGCGATTTTTTCTTTCTGGTCCATTAGTTCGACTAAACTAATTTCTTCTTTTCCTTGTAACGAACAAGTAAATGTTGACACTATCTGACCATACAGAACTTGGTCTACTTTCTTCAAGTCCGACAATCTATGGAAGGTACGAAACTCCGAAGCGGATCGTTTCTTCGTCAAAACAATAAATTTTCTGTTTTTACAAAGTCTGATGGCTTTCTGCACCCCCTCGCCGTCCTTGACAATCAACGGACACTCATCCATCAACCACAACAACTTGGTGTATTCTTCGTCATTCAAATCGTCGAACGAACTGACACCAAGTCGCATTATCCCAAAAATCTTGGCCTTATGCAAGTAGTCACGGTCTACATCGTCTCTAATTCCGTTCCACAGCTTCTTTATTTTGTCAGACTTATCTTCCGCTAGAAGCGTGATACCAAATTTTGATACAGCATCCCGTAAGTAGTCATATTTCTCGTCAATTTGTCCCCTCTGTGGAGAAAAAAATTCAGCTGAAGGTGACAACACCATCAAACCTATGACGTGCTTCATAAGCGACGAATGCAAGACGGTTTTCTTGCCCGGTTTCAAGCTCCACGACTGTACAAAGTCGACGTACCTTTTACAAACACTGTCGTCTTGGCAAGCAAACAGCGAACGAAATTTCTGGTCGATTTTTTCTCTGAGTACCGAGACCGAGTCGTAGTTCGCTATCAAAGTAAAATTGTCAAAAAATCGCTGGTATTTTTGCAAAAGTGGAACGTCGACGTTTGTGTTTTTACTCCCACGGATGGTAAACCTAAAACGTCTGTTTTCCGTATCCGCGGTCGTCACAGTCATGTCAAAATCCACCCCGCTTTTGCTATCAACGAGACTGAAATCCGTGGGGGCGAATTTCCTGTTGGTGACGAGAAAATACTGACAGGTCCCGAGATCGTCGCATACTTTTACGTATTCGTCGAAGTACCTCAGCAAGCCGCAGTTTTTGTCCCAGCTGTTCAACTTGGTGGGCGTAATTTGCCCGCCTGTGTTTGAGTATTTGAGTTGAAGGGCGGCTTTTCCGGCAAGTTGCGGGTTTGGGGAGTCCAGGTCGCAGACCACGTCGTCGTAAGCCCCAAAACGTGAGTGGTTTGCGGCTACTTTGAAATTTGTTATTCTTGGACGGGTGATCAGGTCTAGGACTAGATTGGCGACGTACAGGTCCTCGAAATCTTTTCCTTCGTCGGTGGTGCCTCTGCGTTTTTCGAACACCTGCGAAAGTTTGTCAGTTGGTTTGGTTTGTTTTTGGTTTGGCTTACCAGAGAGTCGTCGTCTATGTCCAGGAGGTTACGCGGATCTGGAGGACGAGGTTCGTTGGGTGCCTGCAAGTTTATTTGATCGTTTGACATTTAAATAGTTGGTGGGATTTTTGGTGGTTATACCTCTTGTGGATTATTGGCGGTACTAGCTGACATTTTTCTGTGTAGATTTTGTGTAAACTGACATTACGTGGTTTTTGCGCTGTTTTGGATTGTTTGAGTTCTTGTGCTGCTGCTCTTGTAATCGGAATCTAAAAAATGGGAGAATTTGAGGTAAGCAAGAGAAATTTTCTGTTGCAGATCATCTATGTTGGATATCATATATTATATACAAAGTGAGTTAGAAAGTTGTACGGTTCTTTGCTAAGGTAATTTTCAACTCTACAGAGTGCTTAGTATGTTTTTGCGCAATATAGTCAATTTAGTTTTTCTATATATTTTTATGTCTCATCGGTTTATCATTGGTTTATAATGGTGTGGATTTGTGGTACGACTGGTACATTATTGTATTGATCAAATAATACCCTAGCGCATTAAGAATAGCTGCCACTCTAAATATCAAAAGAAAACACAATGGACTAGAAAGCAACTATTACTTATTAAAACCACGATCTCCGGTAACGAGGAAAATTTAAAAAATCTGAAAAATCCGAAAATTACGAAAAATCCAAAAATCCGAAAAAATCCAAAGAATTCAAGGAATCCAGACAATAAAAAAAATCTAAAAAATCTAGAAAATCCAGAGTATCCAACAAATCCAGACAATCCGAATTATCGGAAAAATTCTAAAAAATAAAAAACAATAAAAAAATCCCAAGAATCCAACGAAGCCATAGACTCCGAGGAATCCAAAGAATTCAATGAATCCAGAAAATCCAAAAAATCAGAAAAATTCTAAAAAATAAAAAAAATCCAAAGAATTCACAGATTCTCAAGATTCTAACGAATCCAAAGAATCCCAAGAATCGAAAGAATCCAAAAGATCCAAAGGATCCAAACACTCCAAAGAATCTAAGGAATCCAAAGAATCCAAACGATCCAAAGAATCCAAAGAACTAAAATATCCAAAGGATCCAAACACTCCAAAGAATCCAAAGAGTCGATAGAATTCAAAGGATCCAAAGAATATAGAATTCAAAGAAATCAAAAAATACAAAAGTCTAAAAAAGCCAAAGAATCCAAAAAATCCATACAGTCCAAAAAAGAAAGTCTAGAAAACCCAAAAACTCCACAAGATTTGAAAAAAAAATTAAAAAAATCTAAAAAATTCAAAGAATCCAGAGTCCAAGGAATCCAAAGAATCCCAAGAATCCAAAGAATCCAAAAAATCCAAAGAATCCAGAAAATCCAAAATATCTAGAAAATTTAGAAATTCCAAAATTTGAAAAAATAAAAAAAATCGAAAAGGAATCCAAAAAATTCCAGAAATCCAAAGAATCCAAAGGATCTAAAGAATACAAATAATTCAAAGAATCCAAAGAATCCATGGAATCCAAAGAATCCAAAGAATTCAAAGAATCCAGAAAATCCACAAAAATTCAGAAAATCGAAATAATCCGAAAAGTCCAAAGAATCCAAAGAAACCAAAAACCCAAAGGATCCAAGGATCCAAACACTTCAAAGAATTCAAGGAATCCAAAGAATTCATAGAGTCCAAAGGATCCAAAGGATCCAAAAAAGTCAAAAAGTCCAGAAAATCCCAAGAATCCAAAGAATCCAAAGGATCTAAAGAATTCAAATAATTCAAAAAATCCAAAGAATCCATAGAGCCCAAGGAATCCAAAGAATTCAAAGAATTCAAAGAATCCAGAAAACCCAAAACCTTCAGAAAATCCAAATAATCCCAAAATTCTAAAAAATAAAAAGAAATCAAAGAACCCAAAAAATCCCAAGAATCCAAAGAATCCAACACATCCAAAGAAACCAAACGATGCAGAGAATGCAAAAAATCCAAAGGATCCAAACAATCCAAAGAATCAAAAGAATCCAAAGAATCCAAAAAATTCCAAAAAGTTTAGAATATCCAAAAATTCCAAAAAAATTGAAAAAATCTAAAAAATTCAAAGAATCCCAAAGAGTCCAAGGAATCCAAAGAATCCCAAGAATCCAAAGAATAAAAAAAAACCGAAAAGATCCAAACACTCCAAAGAATCCAAAAAATCCAAATGATCCAAATAATCAAAAATATCTAGAAAATCCAGAAATTCGTTAAATTCAAAAATATCGAAAAAAATCCAAAGAATCTAAAGAATCCAAAGAATCGAAAGGTTCTAAAATATCCAAATGATCCAAAGAATTCAAGGAATTCAGAAAATACATACATCCAAAAAATTTAGAAAATCCAAATAATCCGAAAAACTCCAAAAAATAAAAAAAAATAGAACATCCAAAGAATCCGAAGAATCTAAGGAGTCCAAAGAGTCCAAAGAATCAAAAGGATCAAAAAGAGCCAAAGGATGCAAAGAATCAAAATATATCAAAGAATCCAGGAAATACAAAAAAAATCAAAAAATCCAAAAAATCCAAGAAGTGCAGAAAATCAAAAAATTCCAAAAGATAAAAAAAATCGGAGAAATCGAAGAATCTGAAGAATCTGAAGAGTCCAAAGAATCCAAAGGATCCAAAGAATCCAGAAAATCCAAAAAATCTAGAAAATCCAGAAACCCCAAGATTCGAAAAAATCCAAAGAGTTCAAGGAATCCAAAAAATCCAAAGAATTGAAAGAACCCAGAAAATCCAAAAAATTCTAAAAATTTAAAAAATCCAAAGAATCCAAAGAATCCAAAGAATCTAAGGACTCCAAAGAATCCAAAGGATCACAAGAATCCAAAGGTTCCAAACACTCCAAAGAATCCAAAGGATCCAAAGAATCAAAAGATTCAAAGAATTGAGAAAATACAAAAAATTAAAAAAAATCCAAAGAATCCAAAAAATCCAAAAAGTCCAGAAAATCCTAAGCATCCAAAGAATCTAAAGAGTCAATAGAATCCAAAAACTCCAAAAGATTCAAAGCATCCAAACAATTCAAAAATTCTAAAAATCAAAAGAATCCAAAAAATTTCAAAAGAATCTAAAAAATTCAGAGAATCCAAAGAGTTCCAAGAATCCAAAGAATCCAAAAAATCCAAAGGATCCAAATGATCAAAAAATCTAGAAAATCCAGAAGCTCGTTAAATTCGAAAAATATCGAAAAAAATCCAAAGAATTCAAAGAGTTCGAAGAATCCAAAGAATCGAAAGGCTCTAAAAGATCCAAAGAATCGAAAGGCTCAAAAAGATCCAAAGGATCCCAAGAATTCAAGGAATCCAGAAAATACATACATCCAAAAAATTTAGCAAATCCAAAATATCCAAAAAATCCAGAAAATCCAAATAATCCGAAAAATTCTAAAAAATTAAAAAATAAAATAAAAAATCCAAAGAATCCGCAGAATCTAAGGAGTCCAAGGAATCCAAAGAATCCAAAGGATCAAAAAGATCCAAAGGATGCAAAGAATCAAAAGGAATCAAAGAATCCAGTGAATACAAAAAAATTTAAGGAATCCAAAAAATCCAAAAAGTGCATAAAATAAAAAAATTCCAACAGATTCGAAAAAAAACGGAGAAATCGAAGAATCTAAAGAGTCTAAGGAATCCAAAGAATCTCAAAAATCCAAAGAGTCCAAAGAATCCAAAGGATTCAAAAAAATTCAAAGAATTGAAAGAAGCCAGAAAATCAAAAAAATTCAGAAAATCCAAATAATCCGAAAAATTCTAAAAAATTTAAAAATCCAAACATTCCAAAGAATCCAGAGTCGATAGAATTCAAAAGATGCAGAACATCCAAAAGATCCAAAGAATACAGAATTCAAAGGAATCAGAAAATACAAAAATTTAAAAAAGCCAAAGAATCCAAAAAATCCATACAGTCCAAAAAAGAAAGTCTAGAAAATCCAAAAACTCCACAAGATTAAAAAAAAAAATGAAAAAACCTAAAAAAGGAGGAAAAGAATCCCAAGAATCCAAAAAACCCAAAGGATCCAAACACTCCAAAGAAACCAAAAAATCCAAAGGATCCAAAGGATCCAAATAATCAAAATATCTAGAAAATCCAGAAATTCGTTAAATTCGAAAAATATCGAAAAAATTCAAAGAATCGAAAGGCTCGAAAATATCCAAAGGATCCAAAGAATTCAAGGAATCCAGAAAATACATACATCCAAAAAATTTAGAAAATCCAAATAATCCGAAGAATCTAAGGAGTCCAAAGAATCGAAAGAATCTGAAGGGTCCCAAGAATCCAAAGAATCCAAAAAACCCAAAGGATCCAAACACTCCAAAAAATCCAAAGAGTCCAAAGGATCCAAAGAATCAAAAGAATTCAAAGAATCGAGAAAATACAAAAAATTAAAAAAATCCAAATAATCCAAAAAATCCAAAAAGTCCAGAAAATCCTAAGCGTCCAAAGAATCGAAAGAGTCCCTAGAATCCAAAGAATCCAAAAGATTCAAAAAATTCAAACAATTCGAAAAAACCAGAAAATAAAGAAATTCTAAAAATCAAAAGAATCCAAAGAATTCATACTGTTTAAAAATTCCACGTCGTTAAGCACTGCTTATTGAGCAAAGAAAAAATAATTTAAAAATTTAAAAATTTCTTGGGTACAAATGTAATTCGGCAAGAGTTGCTACTGGGACCGCAGTTGTTTACTGTAAACGTCAGTGAACTTCCGGTTTATCTGTCTTCTAATAAAATTTATCAATTTGCTAACCACACGTCCGGTATAACATCTATTTATTATCGTTATATAGGTACATCTAAACGAGAAACGGAGAAAACTAGAGCTTTTTTAAAATTGCCAACCAAAATTTAGTAGAACCAAGTCTACATCTCCAAAGCAACTGAGTTTATTCACTTGATGCGGATTACACTTTTATCGGTTAAATATATTTGTTTACAAACACCATGATACACTTGGAAAACATTGGGATAATTGTGCAACGTGCAACCTTATCCTTGTTACATACCATCAAGATAACCTTCGAATCAAAATTCACAGTTGACTACTGTGTAAATATTATAGAATAAAATACTCCTGCACTTGTGGTTTATGAATCCGTGCTGAGTTTTCATCCCAGACATCCAAATTCTTGGAAAAAATTTATAAACTTTTACAATGAATCATTAATGGCTTTAATTAAGTCTAAGCCAAATTTTTCGGAAGATTTCGGAAAAATCTTTTTTAAATTATTTAATATGTCGAATTTTTTTGATGTGTTTAAAAATATTAATGAATAAGTGCACTATAATTTTTAATAAAAATTGTTACCGCTCAAAGTCTGAGGGAAGTACTGTATAGATTCTTCAGATCGGGTTTTATTTTGACTAATCAACAGTTTTAGTCACCCAGAGTTCATTTTTCAGCCAATGTTCGATAATTTATATGGTCTTACTTAACGGATTAAGCATGAAAAGGAAGAAGTATCATAGTTTGATAAAAATTACCTTCGAAATCCTTGGTCTTGCCAAAAAAATGTACCGGTAACGTTTGGAGCATGCTTTGAATACTTTTATATAACCTTACAAATTAACGTCGAACCACGTTTGTTAAACGCTGACTATAAAATTGCTAAAAATAACTACAGAATTTTGTAAAGTGATCTCTATTATCAACATTTTTGCAGGTTCCTACCTTTAATTACTACCACCTGTTGCTAGAGGAGCACTGTAACACATTCCCCACTTAAGACCTACCCTTAAGTTTTTGTAAATAGTACTTAAGTAGACACAAAACCGCCACGAAAGTGTGTGCTTTCAGGTGACCCGCTATGACTTGGTGTAAAGTGTGTTGCCTAGTCTAGGAAAAACAACTGCGATAATTTTGATTAATTTTATTTCAGTTTGTTCTTTTTTCAAACATTAAATGACTATTTTTCGGCTTCAGCATAATCAAGAAATCGCACTCCATGTCCTTCCAGGATTTCATACCAACAGAGCGTATTTTGAACGTTTTCACAATCATTGCAATCATCACCTTCATGGACATCATTCCATATTTCAAACCTAAGACATACGTTGAAAACTAGTTTCGTTGTCAAGAGCTACAAACCTATACAATTCCTGCTACCAAAACTGAAAGGGATGAACGAACAACGATGTCTTTTTGCAACTTCGTCAGGAAGAAACCGATCCGGATCAAACTTTTCCGGGTCAGGCCACACTTCCGGATCTCTGTGTAGTGTCACCACAGGAATGAGAAAATTGCACCCCGCAGGGAAAACAAACGGGTCTGGAAAAAATCCAGTTTTTGGGGATAGGTTTTGTGAACTATTTAAATTACCGGATGTAATGTCTGCCTCATTACTTCGCATAAGAAAAGGCACTAAAGGGATCAACCTCAGTGTTTCTTTAATGACTCGTTCCACGTACTCCAGACGATTGATTTCTTCTAAAGTCGGGTCTTCGTGGCACGACGTAACTGAAACCACTTCTTGATAAGCTTTCTCCTAAAAAAACAACTTTGAAAGGGTCATTATAATTGCTTAATTTACTTGAACGTCTGAGTAGATTCCTAAAAATGTTAGAATGATATTGATTGTGATTGCCGTCGTTTCACTTCCTGCTATAGACATTAAAGAAGCTTCTTCCAAAATATCCTCATGGGTGATCTGCTTGTTTCGGTTTAATTTATTCAAATGAGGCAGAAAGCGTTGACTTCGAATAGGATTGACGCTTTCGAATTCAATTGATCTGCTTTGTTCAGCTAAAATCTGCAACGGCACAATACAGCACATTTAATATCTATTAGCGACACAATACAGTACATTTTCGATAATTTTGTGACCTTTTTGCCAAGCCTGTTGGTACTCTTTACGCAAACTGGATAGTTTCCAGAAGAAATCAGTAAGAAGCCAAAATTTTCGCAATCTTTGTATAAGTATTTCTTCGATTCTGAAATCCAGGTTTACAAAAATACGAAACCAAAACGACTACTCACTTCATGGTGGCCGAAATGGCGTTATATCTTTCCTTGATCAGGTGCGGTTTTATGTTTGTTAGAGTTTCTGTGAAATTGAAAATTTTACATGTCTCCAGAGTATAAAAGTGTTATTCACCGATTGTACTATCCAGAGTGTTTTGCCATATAATTGGCGTGAGGTCCGTGGTTTCCTTGCCATGGGTGGATTCCAAAAACTCTACCATTTTTCTGGAATAGTCGACGAATATGTCGTGGAACGAATTTAAAACTTTTGGGTTAAAGGAGGGGTTGATCATTTTTCTGTGTTCTTTCCAGACACTGACTGTGAATTTTGAGCTCCGTCACTAGTATTACAAAATTTTCTACTACCTGGTGATGTTAGTAGAGTGTTTTTGGCTTCATCGTGGATGGTGTTGTAAAAAGGCGACTTATTTAAACAGTTTGTCAAAATTTTTTCCACATCCGTTGGTCTCGTGCTAATGATGTACAACTGTGAACCTACCCAGAATTTCGTAACTGGTCGATAGAAATTTAGTACTTGACAGGTCAGTTCGAAAAAATCTGGAAAAAACAATGATTTTTCTTGAATTACTAAAATAAATTGAACTTACTGCTTTTGGTTGCAGATAACAAAAAGATAGTTCCCACTAGGGGAACCGCAAATGGTCCGGGTATTTTCCAAGAGTGATAAAGCAGCCATCTTTTTTTCCAAAGAAACTGAAAAACGGCGAAAACTGCGACACAAAAGAAAAACCAGAGGATCATTCTAAGCACTAAAAGCGAGCCCATTGGCCACAACTAATCACAGATTCAAGAGTTTTTTGTTTACTATTTGAAACCAATCTATTGCGATAACGCAACGACAACTGTCGTAGTCAGGAAACATCTACTTATCCTTAGTTTAATTCTTTATAATTAATATTCAAAGTTCATCGGTTGTGTAAGTATGGAATTTGTTGATTGGTTATTAGTTGCAACGCAATTCAGTGGCATCAATTTTCTGAAACTGTGATATTGTAACTTTGAAAAAATATACAACAGTCTTTGAAGGTGATATTAAAAAAATGAGAACAATTTTGGCAACAAATTCGGATCTTGCTACACGTCACAGGGAAATTTGTAATAGAAATATGCGACATTTTCACGCCTATGCATTCAACAGCCTCGTCGCTTTCTGAATAATAATGTGATAACTCCGAGGCAACAACCTTGATACCAATTAATATTTCATAATTATATTTGCGACTTCTGTTTGAGTCGATGAGAGATGAAATCTTTGGGATCTTTACCTTCTCTCAAAATAAATTTTTCCAATTTCTAGTATAAACAGCAGAACGACCAGAAATTAAAACTCCCAAATTTAAACAATCGGATAACTGAAAAATCGAAACATCGAAAAACTGGAAAATCGAAAAATCAAAAAATCAAGAAATCGTGGAGTCGAAAAGTCGAACAATTGAGAAACCGAAATAGGCCAAAATCAAAATATCGAAAAATCCGAATCTCGATAAATCGAGAAATTCAAAAACTTAAAAATTCGAAAAATTGAAAAATTGAGAGATTGAAAAATCAAAAGAACGAGAAATCGAAAAGTGGTGAAGTCGAAAAATCGAAAAATAGAGAAATCGACAAACAAAAAGTGAAAAGTTGAAACTGGAAAAGCGGAAAAATCAAAAAACGAAAAAATGGAAAACTGGAAAAACTGAGAAACCGAAATAGGCCAAAATAAAACATTGAAAAACTGATAAATCGAAAACCTGGACAATCAAATCTCGATAAATCGGGAAAAAAAATTAAAATATCAAAAGATTGAAAAATCTAAAATTTAAAAATCCAAAAATTGAAAAATCGAAAAAGTAGACAGGTAGACACATCGACAAATCCAGAAGTCAAAAATAGAAAAGCCGAAGAATTGATATATTGAAAAATCCTAAAACTGAAATATCTAAAAACTGAAAAATCGAAAAATCAAAAAAGTGAAGTCGAAAAATTGAAACCTTAAGAATCGAAAAATTGAAAATCAAAAACCTGAAAAATCAAAAAATTAAAGAATTGAAGAACAGGAAAATCGAAACCCTCGAAGGTCAAGAAATGGGAAAATCAAAACATCAATTAATTGAAAAATCGAAAAATTGAGAGTTTATAAAAGTCAAATTTGAAAAATTAGAAAATCGAAAATTTGACAAAATGACAATTGAAAAACAGAAAATCTAAAACCGGGAAGTCGAAAAATCAAAAGATTAAGAAATCGAAACATTTGAAAAATTCGAAAACTTGGAAAAATTGAAATATCGAAACCTTGAAAAAACTAAAAAATGAAAAATCAAAGACCTGAAAAATCCAAAAATTAAAGAGTTGAAAAAACCAGAATATCGGAACCCTCGAAAGTCAAGAAATGGGAAAATCAAAACATCGATTAATTGAAAAATCGAAAAATTGACAGATTGTAAATGTCAAATTTGAAAAATTGAAAAATCTAAAATTTGAAAAAACGACAGTTGAAAAACAGAAAATCCAAAACCAGGAACTCGAAGAATCGATAGGTTAAGAAGTCAAAACATTATCTAAAATTTCATATTTTAAATCTAATCAAGAAATCGAAAAATCTGAAATTTTAAAAATTAAAAAATCTAAAATTTAAAAATCGAAAAGTTCAAAAATCAAAAAAGTAAAAAAATCTACACACCGAAAAATTCAGGAGTCAAAATTCGAAAAGTCGAAGAATCGAAATATTGATAAATCCCAAAACTGAAATATCGAAACACTGAAAATTGAAAGAAAAACTAAAAATGGGGAACTAAATCGGGAAATCAAAACATTGAAAAATCGAAAAATTTAAAACAATTGAAAACAGAAAATCTAAAACTGGAAAGTCCAAAAATCCAAAGATTAAGCAATCGGAAAATTGAAAAATCGAAAAAGTAAAAAAGTCGACACATCGAAAACTCCAGAAGCCAAAAATCGAAAAGTCGAAGAATCGAAATATCGAAAAATCCCAAAACTGAAATATCCAATAACTGAGAACCTAAAAAGTCGAGAAATTGAGCAATCGAAAAATCCAAAAAGTAACGTCGAAAAGTCAAAACCTTGAAAAAACTAAAAAATGAAAAATCAGAAACCTGAAAAATCGAAAAATTAAAGAATTGAAGAACAAGAATATCGAAACCCTCGAAAGTCAAGAAATGGGAAAATCAAAACATTGATTAATTGAGTAATCGAAAAATTGACAGTTTATAAATGTCAAATTTGAAAAATTGAAAAATCGATAATTGAAAAAACAACAGTTGAAAAACAGAAAATCCAAAACCGAGAAGACGAAAAATCGATAGATTAAGAAATCGAAACATTTGAAAAATTCGAAAACTTGGAAAAATTGAAATATCGAAGAACTGAAATGAAAAATCAAGAAATCGAAAAATCTAAAATTTTAAAAATTAAAAAATGTAAAATTTCAAAATCGAAAAATCGAAAAATTGAAAAATTGAAAAAGTAAAAAAATGGACACACCGAAAAATCCAGGAGTCAAAATTCGAAAAGTCGAAGAATCGACGAATCGAAATATTGAAAAATCCCAAAACTGAAAAATCGAAAAACTGAAAATTGAAAGAAAAACTAAAAATGGGGAACTAAATCGGGAAATCAAAACATTGGAAAATCGAAAAATTTAAAACGACAATTGAAAACAGAAAATCTAAAACCGGAAAGTCGAAAAATCCAAAGATTGAGCAATCGGAAAATCGAAAAATCGAAAAAGTAAAAAAATCGACACATCGAAAACTCCAGAAGCCAAAAGTCGAAAAGTCCAAGAATCGAAATATCGAAAAATCCCAAAACTGAAATATCCAACAACTGAGAACCTAAAAGGTCGAAAAATTGAGCATTCGAAAAATCCAAAAAGTAACGTCGAAAAATCAAAACCTTGAAAAAACTAAAAAATGAAAAATCAAAAAGTTGAAAAATCGAAAAATTAAAGAATTGAAGAACAAGAATATCGAAACCCTCGAAAGTCAAGAAATGGGAAAATCAAAACATCGATTAATTGAAAAATCGAAAAAATGACAGTTTATAAATGTCAAATTTGAAAAATTGAAAAATCGAAAATTTGAAAAAACGACAGTTGAAAAACAGAAAATCCAAAACCGAGAAGTCGAAAAATCGATAGATTAAGAAATCGAAACATTTGAATTGAAAAATTCGAAAACTTGGAAAAATTGAAATATCGAAGAACTGAAATGAAAAATCAAGAAATCGAAAAATCTGTAATTTTAAAAATTAAAAAAATCTAAAATTTAAAAATCGCAAAAATTGAAAAATCGAAAATGTAAAAAAATCGACATACCGAAAAATCCAGGAGTCAAAATTCGAAAAGTCGAAGAATCGAAATATTGAAAAATCCCAAAACTGAAAAATCGAAAAACTGAAAATTGAAAGAAAAACTAAAAATGGGGAACTAAATCGGGAAATCAAAACATTGAAAAATCGAAAAATTTAAAACGACAATTGAAAACAGATAATCTAAAACCGGAAAGTCGAAAAATCCAAAGATTAAGCAATCGGAAAATTGAAAACTCCAGAAGCCAAAAATCGAAAAGTCAAAGAATCGAAATATTGAAAAATCCCAAAACTGAAATATTCACAAACTGAAAACCTAAAAAGTCGAAAAACTGAGCAATCGAAAAATCCAAAAAGTAACGTCGAAAAATCGAAACGTTGAAAAAACTAAAAAATGAAAAATAAAAAATCTGAAAAATCAAAAAATTAAAGAATTGAAGAACAAGAATATCGAAACTCTCGAAAATCAAGAAATGGGAAAATCAAAACATCGATTAATTGAAAAATTGAAAAATTGAAAAATCGAAAATTTGGAAAAACGACAGTTGAAAAACAGACAATCCAAAACCGGGAAGTCGAAAAATCGATAGATTAAAAACATTTAAAAATTCGAAAACTTGAAAATCTGAAATATCGAAGAACTGAAATGAAAAATCGAGAAATCTAAAATTTTAAATATTCAATAATTAAAATACCAAAAAAAAGACTTTTTACTTTTTCGATTTTTAAATTCAAAAAATCGAAAAAGTAAAAAGTCGACACATCGAAATATCCAGAAGTCAAAAATGAAAAAGTCGAAGAACAGAAAAATTGAAAAATTCCAAAATTGATATTTCAGATCGAAAAACTGAAAAATGAAAGAAAAACTGAAAAATCGTAACATCGAAAAATTGAATACCAAGTAAACTGAAAAATCCCAAAACTGAAATGTCTAAAAATTGAGAAATCGAAAAATCATAAAAGTGAAGTTGAAACATCGAAACCTGAAAAAATAGAAAAATTGAAAAACCAAAAAACCTGAAAAATCAATTAATTGAAAAATCGACAAATAAAGAGTTTATAAGAGTCAAAAATTGAAAAATCGAAATATTTAAAAATCGTAAAATTGAAGAGAAAAACTGAAAACCGAGAAATTAAAAAATTGTAAAATCCAAAAATTGAAAAATAAGTAGGAGTAAACTGAAAAGTTTGCAGAAGAACATATTATAAACCCTGCCCACGCACCCGCCTCCATTTCGGTGATTAATTTTATCAAAAAAAGTACTACTAAAATTTATTGCAGCAGCAAGAAGACGAAATTTATTGCTCAAAAGAAACATTGATGACACAGTCCAAAATTTGGGTTGTATTACACATTCTGTTTTTTGAATTTTTATGTGACATGCCATTTACGTAGGTTGTA